ACTGCCATTTTTCTTTCTAAATCCTCTCAAGGAGAAACATAAGGCACCAAAGGGGAAATGATTAGAAGGCAATAACATAATCAATAACAAAGAGTTTATTGATAATCACGCTTCCGTTTAACCGTTCATCAATGGATTCAGGTATGTCATTTTGTCTTGATTTCTTGATAATACACATGGTAAATGATCCAAAGTGTAAGGTTTATGTTCTGAAATTTATGTTTACAATATAAACATATAATGACATTTGGTCCAGTTATAATTTGGGCATTAGACGGGCTTTGTTTACATACACCCGCTAGATTAGTTCATCATTTTTGTCTTGCAAACATTGCGTGAAAATTGGAAGATTAAAATTAAGATTGTAGTCGCGTTCTAGTCAGGTGCGAAATTTCTGTACAACATCATAACTGGACCCTATCTGTAAATGCATCATTTTACAAGAAGGTCATAAAGCCTTTCCTATTAGGAGCAAGAATGAGAGTGTTTATTAGATAGCCCTATGGTTGAGAACATAAATTTTTTTTGCCTCATCTGTGTTGTGCTGGTTATTGTGGACTCACTTCAATAAGTCTAGACATTATTTTTAAGTTCTTGTGTAGATTATTTATAAAAAAATATATACATATTAATTTGATAATGGCAGTCATATAATTTCATCACATTTACTTTTAAATAAATAATGATAAGTATAATTTTAAAAATGCAACGTTTATTTTTTTAAAGACAAATATTATGTTTTAAAAAAATCATGTGCATGTCTATTTAGTCCCTGAACTATTGATTAAATTTACGAAGTCTCTAAAGTATGTAAATCAAAATCTATTTAATCCCTAAATTATCAATTCAATCTATTAAATTCCTAGAATATTTAATTCAAACATATTTAGTCACGGAAAGGATTACAAAAAAAAAAAAATAATCCCATAAGTATTATAAATTAATAAAGACCCTATTTAGTTAATGTTTTATTTCAAAAAAAAAAAAACCCTTTAATTTTTGTTCTTTTTTTTTTAAGGTGTGTGTCAATTCTTCTGGTGAAATTTTTTTATAACGGTAAGGGTAATTATGTATATTATTTTCTTACTTATCTTCTACAACAACAACTTACTTGCTTTTATCAGCATTCTATGCCGAAATTTGTTTATAATTTACAATTGATTGTCGTTAAATTTTTTGCTAAATTGTTTTTATAACTTAATTAATGTATTATTTTATTCTATTTATTATTTGTAGTGAAATGTTATTATTTAAATTATTTAGTTTTACTTCTTCAGTATATCTAATACTCATATAATTTTATTGACAAGATTGAGAAACTAAACTTTGAAGAAATACATAAAATTATATTTTATTGAATGAATACAACACAGTTCATTTACATCAGTATATATATCAGATACAGTGCTAACAACATCCGAACAGTCTAACTGACTAACCCACTCTCTCCCCCGCTAACTAATTTTGTTATGAGTTATAATCTCATGTTACTCCGCACGCCATAGCCTAAGCCAGTACTCCACTCTTGTGCACTTGATCATTGACCACTGGATGACCTTCTCTATCATCTCCCTTCAAGCATGTTAAAATAACTGTATAGAGAAAGGGAGAGAATAAATTATGTATATATTGATGTATTGAATGTTGTATATTACAAATGGTGAGGGGCTCCTTATATAGGAGAGGGATTGAGAGTGGCCGAAGCACTATTATTACATACAGCCGAAAGGCTAACAGCACTAGCACTAAAGTAAGCATAAAGTAAGCATACATTAATATATACTAACATAAAATATATTAACAGCCCCCCGCAAACTCAAGGAGGATAGGTACTAACCAACTTGAGTTTGAAGAGAGTAACAAATCAGGAAAATAAAATAGGATAGGAGACACTGTATGGTCGTGTTGAACCGTTGGTGAAGACACTGGATGGTCGTGTCAGACCGTTGTAAGAGCTAACCGGAATCAATGTCGGGACAGTTTATGGGGTCATGTCGGGCTGTTGTAGGAGCTAACCGGAATCAATGTCGGGACAGTTTACGGGGTTATGCCGGACCGTTGGAGAAGCTAACCGGAATCAATGTCGGGACAGTTTATGGGGTCATGCCGGACCGTTGTAAAAGCTAACCGGAATCAATGTCGGACTGATGTAAAAAAATACACTATATGATGGTGTATATAGGCTACCCAAAAGATATATATGTATATATATATATCGAGCCCTCAAAAGTTGTGCCCTCAAAAGGCGTGCCATCAAAAGGCGTGCCCAACAGAAATCGTCGAGCGGCGAGCCATCAAAAGGGGCGCCGGACACGCGGCGAGGCACATGACTGACAGAGTGTCGTGTCGTCCTCTTCGGCATTGTCTATATAAACCAAAGCGAAGCCTGAGGCTTAGAAACAGAACAAACCAGTTGAAACCTCTTCGTTCTCTAAGAGCTTTTCTCTAAGAGCTGCAAACCCTGAAACACTCTGTAACATCTGAAACACTCAACAACCCATAACATGGCCTCTTCTTCCCGTTCAGCTACCCAGAACATGGCCTCTTCTTCCCGTGGTCTGCTCACTCTCTTTCCCGACCTCAACGAGTCCACAAGAGAGATAACCGGTGCGGTGGCCCTGGAACCTCAACCAAGCGCCCCTGGTTTTGCTCCGTTGACATTTCCGATGCGGTCTGTGGAGCAAATAATGGCAGCGCAATCGGATATTGAGGCCAATCAGTATACATTGAAGTCATGTGTGGAGACCATGACTGCAGTCACAAACTTGTCGCACCGGCTTCAGAGTAGGACAAATGAGGTGCAGCAGTTAAACACCCAACTAGCTCTGCTCTAGCGCATGTATAAGGATGCGTGAGCAGAAATATGTGTACTAAAGGCGGAAAACAAGGAGCTGAAGCGGAAGGCCACCGTTATGTTCCGATTTGGAGGTCCGCCATTTGCTGCAGTGGAGGAGCAGGGGGGAGTGAACGTGTTCGGTGGATTAGGAAGTACTGAGATCGAGCTGTCACGGGACACCCAAGATAAAAGTAAGAAGAAGAGAATAGAGAAACCTATTGGAGGTTGAAACAAAGGGATTAATAAAGTGGAGCAAAATAGCTTAACACAGAGTGAAGATGTTAAAAAAAAATGATAGAAAGGGTTTTTTTTTTTCGGTTGTGGTGTAAAATTGTGATCGGGGTTGATCCCCGGCATGAAGAAATGATAAGTTTGTGGAATGTTTTTGATGTTATTTTGTGTTGTTGTTTTGTTTTAATAATAAAAATAAAATAAAATAAAAAATAGATAAAAAAAATATTTTTGGATGGGTTATTTGAGAAAGATCGGTGTGAGGTGGATGACGAAGGGAACATGGATGTTTCAAAATAAAGTTTGGGGTAGTGCCCCTGCAAAAGATATATTATTATAGAGTGGGTATTTGAAAGAGATTAAAAGTGGTTTGGAGAAAATAAATAAAAATAATTGATTTTGAAATCAAACGGAGGAGAGAGAGGGGACAAGCCCATGTGATAAAGTAGAGAGAGAGGGTGTTGGGTTTGGAAAGAAAGAGATAAAAAGTGGAGCATCTCTGCTGTGCTACCCCATCATCACTCTCACACAATAAAGGAGGAGAGAGAAAGAGCCCCTGAGAGAGAGAGAGAGCATTAGTGCGAATTCAAGTGGTGTAGACCACCCTTTCTTTGGTTCTGGTTGGAACCCACTTGTTTCACTGAGCCACTGTGCGACGAAGCCGAAAGAGTTGAAGAACGAGGCTCCGCCACCGGAACCGGCACCGGCAAAGGAAGAAGCTGGCGGCACGGTGTCGAAGACAAAGGAGGTGGTGGTTGCAGAGGAAGTGAAGACAGTCGAAGGCGACACTGTTTTCTGCAAACACAAGGAGATTGTTAATGATTCAGGTTGAGCTCATAGCTCTTCTCTGCAAAAACGAGGATGACGAGACACGTGGCGCGGCTCCAATCGTCAATCTGAGTTCGTCGGAAGGCGTGTTGGCTCGCGACGGGAGCTCGGCGGAGGTGTGGAAGCTTTCCGGTGAGACGACAGTAGTGAGCCAAACCAGCGAAGCCAGTTTGTTGCCTCGGCTCGCCACATGGAAGAAATCCGAAGATGTGTCTCGTCATCTTGACAATCCTCTTGAGATTCTTGGTTCAGTTACATCTATAGATTTCAAGGATCCTGCTTGTTTGCCTATAAAGGATCATACTTTGACAACAGAGGAGGTTGAAACTTTGTGTGATGATCTGCGTGTCTTGGGAAAGCAAGACTTCAAGCATTTTTTGAAGTGGCGTATGAGTATAAGAAAAGCACTGTCCCCATCAAATAAGGCTACTTCTACGACCACAGACGTCGAGCATGAGAATAAGGATGATGATAATAAGGATAACGAAGATGTTGCAAAGAAAACTTCGAAATCAGTCTGCCGATAATTGACAATGGCTTCATCGCTCGAGCCGACGTGGGCGTGGCCGTGGCCGTAGCGGAGGTGATGGAGCGAGTTCCACGTCAGCCACGAGCCGGATGTTATGGCAGAGGCCGGAAATGTCTGGCGCCGTGGATTGCTCTTCAATACATGTTAGCAAACGGCCCCAAAGGAGAGGGATGCTCTGTTGTTGAAGAAGGTGTCATGGAAGAAGAAATTAGGAAATTTGGGTTTGTCCGGCGGACGGTCAAGGCGAGGCTGCCGCCCGCCGGTGAAGCGGAATTACTAAGTTCTTAACCTTGCTCTGATACCATGTTAAAATAACTGTATAGAGAAAGGGAGAGAATAAATTATGTATATATTGATGTATTGAATGTTGTATATTACAAATGGTGAGGGGCTCCTTATATAGGAGAGGGACTGAGAGTGGCCGAAGCACTATTATTACATACAGCTGAAAGGCTAACAGCACTAGCACTAAAGTAAGCATAAAGTAAGCATACATTAATATATACTAACATAAAATATATTAACAAAGCATATGGTCAAAGGGGAGACCATGAGCTTGTGTGTTAAATAGGAAAATCAAGCAGTGGATAAAGCTTTGGTAAAAATGTCAGCCAATTGATCTTGTGTGGGAACATATTTGATAATGTGTTGATGAACAACAACATTTTCTTTGATAAAGTACCAATCAACTTCGATGTGCTTAGAGCGCCTGTGGAAGACATGATTAGTGGCTAAGGAAATAGATGACAAGTCATCACGCCACAGTATTGGAGGAGAAGGTTGGGACACTGAAAATTCATCAAGTAAAATATGAAGCCATGTTAATTCAACGGAAGTATGAGCCAATGAGCGGTATTCAGTTTCCATGGATGATATTGTTTCTTAGAGGACCAAGAAATAAGATTGGCCCCCAAGTATACATAATAGCCAGATGCAGAGCGTCGATCAATGGGATTGCTAACCTAATTAGAATCACTGTAGACCTGTAAATGAATTTACTGGAGACAAACTAAAGTCCATGAGCCCATGTACCCTTGACATAACAAAGAATCCATTTGACAGAAGTGAAATTTCCCACAATAGGTGAGTGCATAAACTGGCAAGCTTGATTAACAACATATGATAGTTTAGGCCTGATGATGGTAAGGTATTGGAGAGCACCAACAATGTTGCGGTACACAGAAGGTTGAGTGCAAGGAAGAGAGTCAGTGGAGGTGATGGGTAATTTAACTGAAAGGGGTGTGGCATAAGGTTTGCAATCTACCATATCAGCTTTGACAAAGAGGTCAGTGGCATACTTTTTCTGGGAAAGAAATAAACCAGTAGAAGTGGATTGAACTGAAATTCCTAGGACGTAGGATAGATTGCCTAACTCCTTCATGGAGAAAATATGATGCATATGACATAACAAAGTTTGAATGTAAGCCTCATTAGTGCTAGTTAACAGGAAGTCATCAACATAGATTAGTAGGTAAATGACAGAAGAAGATGTCTGTTGACAAACAAAGGGGAATCACACTTGCTTTGAGGGAAACCCTTTGTCAATAGAAAGGAGGAAAATGTGGAAAACCAAGCTCTAGGAACTTGTTTCAAGCCGTAAAGAGCTTTATGGAGCTTACAAACCAAAATAGGATTATGTAGATAAATAAAACCTAAAGGTTGATCCATGTAAACTTCCTCTTCAAGACGACCATGTAAGAAGGCATTGCTGATGTCCAATTGTTTAAGGGGCCAATGGTGATGCAAATCCAAGCAAAACAAACTGCGGATAGTTGGTTGCTTGGCCACAAGACTAAAGTGTCCTGAAAATCCACATCCTTTTGCAACTAACCTAGCCTTATGTCTAGCCACTGTTCCATTAGAGTTTTTTTATTTATTTTAAACACCCAATTGCAGCCAATGGGTTGTTTGAAGGGTGGAAGAGGGACAAGGGACCAAGTGCCTTGGTGCTGCAAGACAGAATACTCATCTATTATGGCCTTAAACCAAACAGGTAAAGCTAGAGCAAGGTGATAAGAAAAAGGCTCAGTGGAAGAATTTGCAAATAAGGACAGAGATAAGGAAAACCATAAAGGCTTAGTTTTGGATCTGGTTTGCATAGGGTGACTGTTAAGAGAAGGTGGAGGAAGGAGTGGTAAAAAAATTTCAACAGAGTCAATAGGTATAGAAGAAGGAGAAGAATGAGACTGAAGCTGGAGCTCATATTGGGACTGGTGCAGCAGATCAGATTAGGACTGGTGTTGCAGCTCAGATTGGAACTGATACTGCAGATGGAGGCGGCAGAGCAGACTAAGGCAGAGGAGGTAGTTGCAGAGCAGATGAGGCCAGAGAAGGCAATTCAGATGTAAGCATGTGAGAAGACTGAGGCTGAATAGGGAACTGTGAAGAAGACTGAAAATGAGAATAGGGGAAAAGTGTGGACCTATGAGGGGGAGCCCAAAAAAAGTGCTGCAAAGACTGTAAGGTCGAAGGAGAAACAGAAGAAATAGTGGGAAAATAAAAAATAGTTTCATGAAACCTAACAGGTCTAGAAAGAAAAATCTGACTTGTCGTGGGATTGAGACATCTGTAGCCTTTGGCAGATGGGTGGCAACCGAGAAAAATACAAGGATCAAATTTAGGGGCCAATTTGTGAGAAAAATAAGGTTTAAGCCATAGGAAACACAAATAACCAAAAACCTTGAGTTGGTGATAATCAGGTTGAGTGTGAGAGAGAAGCTCAAAAGGAGAAAAGTTGGAGAGAGAAGCATTAGGAAGTCTATTAATGAGATATGTAGCTATGGCAATAGCCTCAAACCAATAGGTGAGAGGAAGAAAAGAATGATGCAAAAGAGAAATGGCAGTTTCAGTAATATGCAAGTGTTTCCTCTCAGCAACCCCATTTTAAGAGGGAATGTATGGACAAGAAAATTGATGAAGAATGCCATGAGAATGCACGAAAGCTTGTAGAGAATTATTAATGTATTCTCCATCCCCATCAAACGTAAGAATCTTAAGAGGAAAGCCAAATTGTTTTTCAACAAAAGTTTTAAAAATCAAGAACTTAGAACATACTTCACTTTTGTAAGCAAGAGGATATATCCAAGTAAATCGAGAATGATCATCAACAAACAACACATAATATCTATAAGAACTAGTAGAACAAGTAAATGGTCCCCAAACATCGGTATGAATTAAACCTAAAGGGGCATCAACTTTAGTATTATACAATTTGAATCGTAATCTATGACACTTACAATCAATACATATCAAATCATCTTTATTGAGAGAAGAAGATAATGACAATTGAGTCTTAAGCAACTGAAATTTGGCAAAAGAATGATGTCCTAAACGTCTATGCCATAGAATAGCAGGAGATGTAGATGATGAAGCAGCAGATTTTGTAGTAGTGGAACTATGAAAAACACAAGGAGAGTTGCGAGCCACAGGAAAATGATACAGTCCATTAGCATGAGATCCTTTATGAATGATTACTTTAGAGTTGTTGTCCTGAATAGAAAATAAAGATTGGTCAAAAATAATGGAGCAGTTATTATCTTTGGCTAGTTGTTGAACAAAAAGCAAATTGGAGTGCATAGCAAGAACATGAAGAATTCTTTTGAGTTGAAAAGAATGATGAGGTGTTAGAAGAATACCTTTCCTTGTGTTATGAATAGGAAGAGATTGTTAAGAATTTAGTTGAGTCTTGTCCTGTTTTTCTGGCATTGACCACTTCTTTAGGAACTGAATAAGTCTGCTGTAGACTTGGTAGAATTTAAGTTAGTTCCTTCTTTCATGTTGAGTCAGTTCCTTATTTTGAGGATATTTAGTTGTGTAAATTTCTATTTAAACAACATCAGTGCAATGAATAAACCAAGACTTTTGATCTCTATGTTACTGTAAGTTAACATTGTGGTATCAGAGCTTCCAAGAAATTCTCCACAGAAGCAGCAGTCTTTTTACTTGCAGTAGCAATCATTCATGGCTGACAAGGTAGTCGATAACTATGTCCAGCCGGCTATTCCTCGCTTCGATGGTCGTTATGATCACTGGAGCATGTTGATGGAGAATTTTCTAAGATCCAAAGAATATTGGACTCTCATGGCAACCGGTATTGTGGAACCGGAAAGTGGAGTAGTTTTGTCAGAAGCACAACAAAAGAGACTCGATGAACAAAGACTGAAGGATTTCAAGGTGAAAAATTACTTATTTCAGGCCATTGATCGTATAATTCTGGAGACCATTCTCCAGAAAGAAACTTCCAAGCAGATATGGGACTCACTGAAGAAGAAATATCAAGGCACATCGAAGGTCAAGCGCTCCCAACTCCAAGCACTTCGCCGAGAATTTGAGACCCTTCAAATGAAATCTGGTGAGCGTGTTTCAGATTATTTTTCAAGAACAATGCCGATTGCAAATAAGATGCAGATCCATGGTGACCCGATGCAAGATGTTACCATTGTGGAAAAGATTTTTCGCTCCTTGACTACGAAATTTGATTACATAGTCTGTTCCATTGAGGAGTCCAAGGACATTGATAAACTATCGGTTGATGAGTTGCAGAGTTCGTTGCAGGTCCATGAGCAAAAACTCCACCAAAGGATCACTGAGGAGCAAGCCTTGAAGGTCTCAACATATGGTGAATCTTCAGCAGCAAAAGGTCGAGGCCGAGGCCGAGGTCAAAGACAAGGAAAAGGCAGAATAGATGATCAAGTTTTTGAATTCAAAGGAAGAGGCCACAGACGCAGCGCTGATTATGCTAAAGCCCAAGAATCAAAGTCCTTCGACAAATCAAATGTTGAGTGCTTTAGATGCCACAGGTATGGTCATTTTTGTTCTGAATGCCATACAAAATTACCTAACGAGAAAGGAGGAACATCAAATTTTGTAGAAAAAGAAGATGATATTACTCTTCTTATGGCTTGCAATACCATGGAAGAAACTCTTCCAAACATGTGGTACTTGGACACCAGATCAAGTAACCATATGTGCGGAGACAAGTCCATGTTCTCTGAGTTGGATGAATCTTTTAATAGCTCTGTAAAATTTGGTGATGATTCTAGATTATCTGTTATGGGAAAGGGAAAAATTAGCTTCCAAAATTCAAAACATTCTCTTTCAAATGTGTTTTATGTTCCTGGTTTGAAGAACAATCTGTTAAGTGTGGGACAACTTCAAGAAAAGGATTATGAGATTATTATCAAAAGGGGAACTTGCCAAATCCAACATCCGGAAAAGGGTTTGATTGTTCAAGTTAATATGACTCGAAATCGGATGTTTCCTTTATATCTTTGCAATGATACCCTTCCTTGTTTTGCTGCTATGGTGAAAGATCAAGCATGGTTATGGCATCTTCGTTATGGCCATTTGAACTTCAATGATCTGAAGATTCTTCATTAGAAAAATATGGTGTCTGGTCTTCCGCAGATTGATCACGTTTCCCAAGTATGTGAAGGCTGTGTTGTTGGCAAACAACATCGTAATGCATTTCCAAAAGGGAGAGCATGGAGGGCCAAGAAAGTGTTAGAGATGGTCCATTCCGATATCTGTGGGCCTATAAATCCACCATCCAATGGTAATAACAAGTATTTTATTACCTTTATCGATGACTTTAGTCGGAAAACATGGGTCTATTTCTTGCAGGAAAAATCTGAAGCCTTTTCAGCATTCAAAAATTATAAGGCCCTTGTTGAGAAAGAAGTTGGGAAAGCTATCCAAACTCTTCGAACCGATCGTGGTGGGGAGTTTAACTCACGGGAATTTGCAAATTTTTGTGAGATGCATGGAATCAAAAGACAGCTTATAGCTTCCTACACCCCGCAGCAAAATGGTGTGGCGGAACAGAAAAATCGTACCATCTTAAACATGGTACGGAGCATGTTAAGCACATCTGGTCTTCCGAAAAGTTTCTGGCCTGAAGCAATCTTGTGGAGTATTCATCTCTTAAACAGAAGTCCAACAATAGCTTTCAGAAATATGACGCCCGAAGAAGCATGGAGCGAAAGACAGCCTAGTGTTGCTCACTTGCGAATTTTTGGGTGCATAGCATATGCACCTGTTCCAGATGAAAAACGGAAGAAGCTCGATGATAAAGGTGTAAAGGGTATTTTTCTCGGGATTAACGAACAATCCAAAGCCTATAAATTGTACAATCCGATCACTGAGAAAATTGTCATTAGCCGTGATGTGGTGTTTGATGAAGATAAGACTTGGCCATGGACTCTTACTATTTCAGGGCAGTCCATTCCTGTCCATTTTGAAGACGAGGAACAGTCACAAGTTTCTTTC